CTTGTCTCCACTGGGATCCGAACCCGGGACCTTCCGTTTACCATACGAATGTCTTACCAACTCGACCACGGAGACCTTGTTGGTTAAGTTAAGTCCAGTAGACAGAAAAGTCTATTATCATTATAAACGTGTTCCAATGAATAACTACGTAATACTAATAGCACTAATTGGTATTATTTTTATTGATCTTGTTTATTTAAAAGGCCCAGTGGAGTAGGGATAGGCAGTGCAGGCTTAATCATAATAAACAAACAATTTTCAGCTTATATTAAAAAAAAAAAAAAAAAAAACGGCTAGCGGGTCCTATTATTTATTATTTAGGTTTTTAGAAGAGTAATTATTGATTACTGTGCTCATTTCAGTTGTTTAATTTTGCGTGCCACCAACTGTCTTGATTAATTTAGAACTAGCTGTTGGGTCGCATTACTAGTATAGGCCATTAGAGGTAGGGAGTAAAAAGATAAAAAGCGATATATATATATAACGATTAATTTTCTGAAAACGTAAATAAGTATACCTAGTCCAAGAATTTAAATTTAAAATACGTCGCAATTGTCGCCTCCTTTTACTGCAATTAATTTTAGTGATCGGAATTAATATAGGACATTAATATTTTTGGTCCGACGATCTCGTTGTGGTGTTAGAGGACAGGTTCCAAGCCTGTCCGACCGGGTAGGTCACCTTTCAACTGACCCCTCGCAGGCGAAAAGTGTACAATTCATAAAATAAGTGCAAATGTCATAGTGTAAAGTGTTAACGCAACACAGTATATTAGCTCAACACTTTCATTACGTGTAAATTAGTTAGGTCTAAATTCAATAAATCATATACTTTGCTGCTGGATGAGTGAATACATAAATAACATCTAAAGAAGAATAAAAAAATAGCAGATTGCATATTATTTTGAAATGATAAAGTTGTTATTATGTTTAATTTATTGATTGTACAATAATAATCAGACCAATTTACAAAATACAAAAATATTTATTTCTAATGCAACCTTGTAAACTTAGATAACAGGTATTCATGGGGTAATGAATATATATTAGGAAACAATTTGTTCGCCAGCATAGTACTCACATTATTGAAACACTTAGTTTCACTAAATTTAGCTACAAAGTAATTAAAAGCCTTAAGAATTAGCAATTGTTTTTACAATAAATATATACTTACAAGTATTAAACAGACACTTTCACTACTTAGGTAAGCCAGGTAAGCCTCCCCCTCATCTATGCCAGTAACGTAGTAGTAGACTAATGAGTGCACCAAAGAATAGATTATATGAACATCAATCGATCGTGAAACGCGCAGGACATGGAAAATAACTTCAAATAACAATTGCAGCTGTAAAATTCTTTTATGTGAAATATTTTACCGTAATTACTCAAAAACAAAATCAATCACGCTCGTTCAATAACATGTGTTTGTTTTCCGCACAGTATGGCATAGGTAGACAATTCTGGATGGTGGCGTAAAAACAATTACCTCAGCCTATACTCTTTCTATTCCCCACCATATCACCAATGAAAAAGTTGTTCAATTTCTAAAAAAATAAATAAATAAATAAAATAAAACACATTAAATCCTATGGATGTTATCTTTCATGTGAATTCATTATACCCCAATAAATGTTTGAAAAATATGAGAATAATATGAGAGTTATATTACGCCTTATATCCATCCACCAAAACAAAACAATTTGGAAGAATGCATTGTATTCACAAAGCATTGGAAACTTGGTAATCGACCATGTACAGAGGATAATTATGCATATTTAATTAGTTTTAATGAAAGGCACAAAACTAACTGTGATTTTGGTCCGCATTATTCTTCATCCTTTTAAGAATAAGTTACAATATGCCCATGTCAATTTTATACTGTAACATTCCATTCAACAAACAACATATACATATAAAAATTTTGTAGGCTACGGTAACCCTTGTAAGTCAGTACTAGAGTTTAGATATTATAACATCCATGCTAAATTTATATTTAAAATATTGTTAACATGGTTGCACTTCCTTGTAGTTAGTATAGGGCCTGAAGTTACGAAGTGTTTTGTTTAGAAGTCATGTATTTATTTTTTTATTATCAATTTAAAAGGCGTGTATTCTTCATATTGAATTTAAATAAAGTGATCATATTTACTCACTAAACAATAATACTTTTTGTTATTTATAGCTGTAGTTGTTACTGATAGTATTTAATTTACATTTTAAAGTGTATCATACTTTTATTTTAGGGGAAATTATATTTAGTAAATTTGGCCTAGGTAATTTTGAAAATATTTTATGAATGTTAATGCAATAAATATTTGTAAATAATATACAAAATATAAAATTTCTTTTATTTGATTATATTAACAGTTACGGTACATTAACTACTTTGCGGACAATCGGATTTTATATTTAAAAAAAATAAACAGAGCTAATAAATAAGCAAATACGGCCTTCTAAGTCAACGATGGATGGATGGTAAAATTATAATTGTTTTTGTTTAACCTTATTTATAGTGGTAGATTTAGAGGTAGTCGTAAGAGGAGTACTTCTCCATTTCTGTTGGTAAACAAACAATTTTTGTAAAGCTTAATTATCAGAAAATTACTATGTTAGATAGTAAAGATCATTCAAAAACAAACTTTGGAAGTTGCTAAAGGGTCCTATCCCCGTGTATACCTACCAGGACTGGGCTTCCTTGAGACTTTCACTCAGTTCGCACGTTCACGTCCCCACCTGTCTCTTATACACATCTCCTTATATCTTAACTCTATGTTCAGTTACAGCTGCCGATTAATTTAGTTCTAGGCCATGTCTGATGTTATCCAATGGTNNNNTAAAAAAAATTGAAAAGAATGGTTTATATAAAGTTAAGTTCCATTAATACCCCTTTGGAAATATAAAGTTCAGCTTGTAGGCCAAAATGTCAAATGATAGTCGTTCGCAGACAAGTGTCCTATTTATAAGGTCCCAAAAAATAAGTTATAATTGTATATAATGAAAACATTAGCAATAGCACAATTAAAAACAAATCACTGACAATAAATCAATAAATGAAATTAATAAATTTCAGAAATGTCGAGTTGATGAGACATGGGCGCTTCAAACTACAGCCATAACATCGGCGCTCTTTCCAGACGCTCATCGCCTAAGGCTTTGCTTAGCCAGTGTACACATATGACTCCTGTGCACAAAAAGAAATTTTTTCAGAAGAGTGTAGGTAATTTAAAAAAATGTCTTCCTTGTAACTTGATTAAACTCTTGTAAGTTTCATTCACATCAATTGACCGGTTTTTTTACTGTTTGACCTTAATCACTTTAATTGGTCCTCACACGCACACACCACCATAGATTGACACTAAGTATATTATATGGTCTATGCTTCGGCAAAGCACGGAAAAATTCTAAGCATGGGAAGTGACCAAGTGACGGCCAGAAAAAAACAGTGTAGGCCAGAAAAAAACAGTGCAAAAAGATTTTTTAAAAATATATTCAAGAAAAAAGAAAAAAAAATCAGAATAAAAACATTGGCTCTTCCCAGTACTGCCAATAATGATAGGCCTAATGATAATAATAATAATAACTATAAAAATAAAAATTTGTTGAAATATAATCTTATTCCATATAATATCGTTCTTCTTTAGTCGAAGGATATGTCTATTATTTCTATGATAGGCCTATTAGTGATATTTAGCCGTTTTAGAACTAGACCAACGTAAACGTCTTCCCATAGTAAAAATAGTACAGATTGTGCCATATGTAAAATATTTGAGAAGAAACTCAAAAGGTGTACAGTTTCTACTAAAAACGATTTATTCATTTTGTATATTATTATTTAAACCTGTAAATACACTAGTGTTTATTATTACATATTCCTGTTTTTGCTAATTTCAAACAATTATATTTAATCAATTGAATTTTATATAGCCGCTATTAAACAATAATTATAGAACTTTTGACACGGATAGGTCTATCTATTTCGGATTATTTAAGTAGTGATACCACAAGATTACGAACGCCGATGTTACGTTGACACAATCTTGACGTCATGATATTGATAAATTAAGTAAATCACCTTTATGCTTGTGAAACAAATATGCTTACTTTTTGAATTCCTGGATCCGCCACTGTATTTTGAAAATGTAGTAAATAAATGTTAATTGTATTCGTTAAAATCAATTAGATACGACTTATAAAAGGCTATAAACGCCAGAGCTGCCAGGGGCCCCGCCCCTGGACCCCACCGGGGGCCTGGGCGGCCCCCGCCAAGTTAGGTCTACGGCCTTAGACTTCCTTTTTTTCTATTGCGTCCCCCCCCTCCCACATTCAACCACGGATCGACGCCCTTGGATTAATCGCAACAGCATAGAGACGCCTTCTATGGCAAAATACTTCCAAAATAACAATTGCACTTATTTTATTCGCATTGTTTTGCCGATATTTTATAATAATCACACAGAAAGAGGTTCTATTACTCTCTTCACTAACCCATGTTAGTATTTTCCGCACCAATGCGCGTAAATAAATAAATCGGTATGGTGACGTAAAACAATGACAATGTTCCCCATCGATCTTTGGCGACATAGGGCATACCTTATCACAATGTACCACAATAAAAAATTGAAATTTTTTTATAATCACAAATTGTATTTACAAAAACAATAATGATTAGTAAATTATTAAATAGAAAAAATATTAAGTAGGCTGCGTATAGGCCTATTTTACATATACATGATTGACAATGTGTCATGTTCTATGGACAGAATGTAGACTTTTCGTCACGAAAATAAATCGTTTGTATTATTTGGTACTCCTCAGCTCATCCTGATAATGTGATTGAAAATGTTGTCTGTGTCTGTGCTTACTATAATGAACGTTAATTCTATATAACTTTGGTAAAGGAAAAAACCTAAAACTTACTTTCTTTTATTTGTTTTTATTTAAACAGTTATACATAACACCATTTGGACAATCCTATTTCACATATAGTTCTCCCGCCATTTAAAGACCACTTTTGGGATAATATAGTAAATGCCAGATCGTTTATTCCAAGTGTTTAGAATAGACTACAATTACTGT